CTATCCTCAATTTATCGGACATAATTTATCGGACAGCAGTTTCAACAGGGATGTCAGTCTCGACGGGGAAGCTCGACAAGGGTCCAGGCTCTGTGATCAGACATTCAGCGCTTGACTTCATCCACCCTTTTTTCTTGTGCAGGATGAACATTATGGGACCATCCACGACAACAAATTTTTTCCTTTCTTCCTTCTTCGGGCTCCTGAATCCGGCGCAGGTCAAATTTGAGCAGCGCACTTTCCTCTTATGACGCCTGATTTGAAAATCCGGCGCTGATTTTCACCACTCAGGCTTTTTTCAATTTCTCGAGAACTTCCTCTGTGGGTAGGTTCGCCAAATTTCACAGATACATAGCTAAAGGTACTAGCCTCCAAATGGTATAGTAGCCCGCTTCCCTATCCCCTTTGCTTTTCTGCCATTCCTCTATATGTCTCGGCACTTTTGAATGGGATGACCTAATAATAAGATGGGCACCAAGGCGCTTCTAAACACATGTCCTATGTGGTCATTTTTTTGCATTCACTTTTCTCATTACTGATTTGCATTCACTTTTCTCATTACTAAAGGAACAACAAACAACTAAGTGGAATAAATAGAATAAATGTAGTTGTACAAAAAAAATCATCGTTATTTAGGATTACCTTCTCTTGCAGACTTCGATATTCCTCGAGAGAAACCTTTGACGACCCTAACGCCATAGAAATTTTCTTGAGAATGCATTAATATTGACTGAAAGTCGATAGTGGCATAATATGCTACTGAATAGTTTAGCAATGTAACTAGTAAGATGTGAAGTGTGTGGGTGGGTGTGGTTGGCACGGGCCTTACAGCTCTGAGGTCCTCTAGCGTATTGATTTCGCCAGTGTCTCCTCGCAGTCTGCCCATCCACGCTGTGAAAATCTCGTTTGATGGAAAATACTGTGGTAATTGTGGGTAACTCATTGGTAAATGGTTCCGACAGTTCAATTATCGCTCCGGAACGATTACAGAAAAGGTGTCCGTAAGGACTATCGGTCCCCAAAAAAGTCGGTACAAGCCATGTGCCAAAACCCTGTAAAGGTGCAGTCATGGATGCTTCTTACAAGGGGATCTCAACAGGGCGATCCAACCATCTGCAAGAGGGTGACTAGCGATCTGCCCTGAGCCTCGAAACCTTCCTTTCCACATCCACGGAGCAGTTCTTTGGTAGAGCTTTCCAGCTTTCCTTCTTCCGCTTTTTGACGTCTTTGGGCAGAATTAATGAGGGTTTCACAGCCCGCCTCTTTTTAGCCTACAGGCGGCACTGGCAAAAACAGAATATTCTATTAACTGTATAGTTACCAGTTTCAACTATTAAGGTCTGTCCGGAAAGTTTCTCTAGCGTTTTGAGTGTTTTTCAATTCTAAACTGTCATACTTTCTTAATACAACACATCGGGATTCGATCGAAAGCAAGGCATCCGTTCCGATAATCAGCAAGCACTTTTGCCCAATGTGACACCAACCGAGTAAATTGCCATTTCAAGAAAAAATTCTGGGTGTCAAGAATCTAAGAAATCCATGAAGGCTTTTTTGCCTGGTCCTAATTGATGAAGTATTTTCCAGCAAGGAAGTTCTGAAAATGTTTGAAAAGGTGATAGTCGGTTGGTGAAAGGTCTGGAGAATATGGCGGGTGAGGTAGAACTTCAACTCCCAATTCGTTCAATTTATGGATAGTGATTTGTGAAACGTGTGGGCGGGCGTTGTCATGCAAAAGAATCGGACCCTTTCTGTTGACAAGTGCTGGCTGCAGCTGACGCAATTTTCGGTACATTTCGTCGATTTCTTCACAGTAGGACTCTGCTGTGATGGTTTGGCCTGGTGACAAAAAGTTATAGTCATCACACCAGCGCCGATGACCACCAAGCCGTGACCAGAATCTTTTTTTCGTGAGGGTTCGGCTTTGAAAATTACCTCGGTGGTTCGTCGAAATCCAACCACTGTCCGGAACGTCTCCTGTTATCATACATGACCCATTTTTCATCACAGGTGACAATTCGGTCCAAAAACGGGTCGTTTCTGTTGCGCAAAAGCAGTGAAGAAGGAACCTCGAGACGTGCCAATTTCTGACCGGTCAAGTGGGTGCACGGACCTTGTCGAGTTTTTTCCACGCTTCGCCAATGCTTTCCCTAGACCATCCGCCAAGCAGTGATTTGCCCAAACGCCTAGCTTATTTCTGCAATCTCTCGAAGCTGTTTGGGATGGGTGCACCCTCCCAGCAACTGGCCTTCCAAATCTTCGTCAAGGTATGCTTTAAGCTGCGACCGCTACGCAGGTTTCATCTGTGCAATTCTTCATCTTCTTTGTGACACGACTGGCTTGAAAAGCCTCTTGAAAAAAGGGATCTAAAGCAATGGTGACGGCAAAGTCATACCATCAGATAGGGACAAAAAATTGCTTCTTAGGAACTGTACTACTGAGAGCAGAGGTGAGTCTGGCAGAGAATGAGTTTTTGAATCAGCAATGAATGTACAAAAAATAGTAACACAAAACGCAGAGAACTTTCCGGACAACCTAATATAAATGAATCGATGACACGCCGAGAACTATACTGCAGGCATTTTACCTTTATTCGAATTGAATAAAGGGACCACTGCAAGTGTGAATGCTGTGGCCCGAAGGAGCGCTTGGGAGAGCGGTGGAACCTATTGCGTACTTCACAAGCGTTTTGATGCCAACGAATGTGATATCGCGTTCAGAGAGTCGAATCTACTCCTACAGACCTTTTAAGCCAAATGAGGTGTCGACCTAACTTCGCAAAGTGGGGCACCCATGGTGTGAATAGTGGAAGTAGATGATCAGTCTTGTTGCTAGCCTATCACCGTTCGGTGTTGTAGTGGGATTGGCTTGTAATTATCAAGCAAACTGAAGTAGAAACGGAGTGGACGTCAGGATCGAAGCCACGGCAAGATGAAATTCGAAGGGCAGAACAAATCTGTCTCAAGGGAAACTGTCTTACTGCTCCATTTCTCTCTCGCTCTGCAAGTGCCAAGAGCAGTTTTGGGTTTGACGTCTCCAGACGTGTGCAGTGGTGTACACCTCATTGCAGGTGGCCGGATCCCGTTTTAGTAACTTTGAGACGTGAAGTATACTCGAAATCCCTGAGATCGGGTAGGCGTGGCTGCGTACTTGATTTTAAAATGGCGTCGGCCCAGGTTTTCGTGAGATATTGTCATTTCGGAGCAGTCGTAATCATGTCTACATATAGCACAGAACAAGATAGCAGTTGTTTCAAATTGAAGTATCCCACGAGAAACCCGTCCTATGCCATGCTCAAAAGCCACGCCTACTCCGTCTCAGGGCCAAGGAGTGTAGCTTTAGTACTCACTCTTGCAGTGTATGAAAGCGTTTTTTGCATTTCGATGTCAAAGAGGATCTGCAGGAATTGTGTGTTGCAGTGGATACTCGTGCTGCTTATGTAGAGAAAGAATTGAAATGTGGGACGAGCAAGAGAACCGTAGATCGCCGCTCCGTCGCGCGCGGCAATGGGGACGTTTCCTCAATTTGCACTACCTTTCGATTGGAGCATCGGATTTTATGTAGACAAGGACATGGTAGACACTTATGTCTATTTTTGGTCATACATTGTCTATTCTCGACCAATACCACCTAAAATCGTCGTCATTAGCAGGCGCGACGTCGCACGCGACGCCCATTGGCGCGGCGAATTACGATTCTCTTGCCACATACCCAAAAGAAGTAGACGCTAGGGTGCATGTCACAAACTTCCCATGCGTATTATCCAACGAGTTCTCGCGAAGACTTCCTCGGCAACATGGCAGGATGAGGGCAGCTCATAATCAGCCATCATTGTTGAGGCAGTAATCAGTTATCGCTGTATGCCTATGAGCCCATCTGCGGCTGGTCTCATAGGCATACAGAGGCTCATTCCACGCCTCCTGACACCGCCCAGCCTGATTCGACGATATCAGCTATATTTGAGTACACAGACTTACCACTCATATCCTTAAGCTTTATTATGAAAATTAGAAGTTGACAGCTTCAACAACTCCGGAACATAAAGAATACTTTTAACATCGAAGGCTTTACCCATATTATCCATTGAAAATAACGAGAAATACTTAGTACAACGAAGAACAAAGCACTTTGGCAGTTAAACAAGCCGAACAACAGTAGATTTACTTTCAAGACAGTTTACCCAAGCGATGCTTTTTAACAAGTTCCGAAATTGTAAAGAAAGTTGAGTCGATGATACCAGCCACTGTGAACGTCCCTCCGACGACGGCACAAATCTGAAAGGCTGCTCGATTTGGATACTCAAACCAGCTACAACTGTATCGGTTTCTCTACTCGGCCCTCGGATAAACTGTTGAAAATAATTGCCAAACACCAAGGGGATAATGAAAAATACTGCCTTCAAAAAAGTAAATTATTGAAAGTCGTGGCATTGATCTGCGACTGGAGGCCTCTGCAATTCCGAAATGGTGCCGAACACTTGGTGTATCGAAATGAGTGGAACAATCACGAAAAATAGCTTTTGATCCCCCATTCAAATACTTGGTTATGTGCAGTGTGTGTTCGTTCACAAGCTGGTTTCAGAAATGGGGGCGATGCTATACTCCATATCCCGGAGAGGGGTAGGGCGTGTCTGCGGACTCGGATGTGAGCGTGAGCGCCATTAGACGTGTGCCGAACCCGCAGAGACGTAGGCAGCAGGTGTAAGAGAAGAGTGCACAGAGAAATGTCAATATATCTTTCCTCCCTTCCCTCTGAGTCCCTAACTGGCCACTGACCACAGACCCACACACGTCATCGCGGTCTTTTCTAAATACCTGGACACGCCTCCCCTTTCTACGGGATATGGAGTGTCACTAGGAATGACTAAATGTACGAAACGTTGGGGCTACATGCATGTTTTTATCAACAGTTGATACTCGTGGAAACTTTCACTGCACTGCTTTTTTACTAACTTCCT